TGTTTTCCTAAATGTTTTTTTTTTCTGTGTATGTATGCTAAAAAGCATACACACTGCTGAGATAGGATTGCTTCTTTGCAAACAGGCTTCTTGGCTGCAGAGATTACCTGCTCCTACCCAGGCCCTCTGCCCCTCCACTCCCTGGGGAGGAGTGAGGAGGGGCATGTTCAGGGTGTTCTAGCAGGACTGGGCACCACTTGTTCTTCGGTTAGTAGTGTTAACGTTTATATTCATAATCCAAGATTTTTGAATTCTTCACTATGTGTTAAGGGCCTTTTATTTTCTTGCATTAATATGATAATCGGGACCCATTGCTCTGTGTAATTCTGTGCCTATATCTTAAGCCAAAATATAAATAATGCTATAAAATAATAAGACGATTTTAAAAAGCACCAAATATGCCATATTTACCTATCAAAGTCTTCTCTTAAGGAGGTGATATTCTATTGATATAGTCTGTCATTAAAACATTTTCGAAGCTTTTGGAATTTCATTTAGAATCATTTTGTGGATTATGTGAGTAAACCAGTCTTGTTACCTTTTGGTCAACTCTTATAATCAAGCTCAAAGCTCAGAGTTAGGAAGCTGATTCTCATGACTTACCCTGCAGTTACTCTCTGTCTCCCTGACCAGGCTCCTTCTCTAACAAGTTTCTGTCACTACTGATGTTGCTTCGCCGACTTTGGGACTCCACAGTGAGCCACTTCTTTGCCCTGCCCTTCAGAAAGAGCCTCCTGGCTGCCTTGATCCTCTGCCTCTTGGTGGTGAGGTTTGATCCAGGTGAGTGATGAATCCTGCCTTTCCTCCGGCCCTTCCTGGGGAAGGGGCAGTTGACAAGGGATGGGCAGGCGGGAGCCCTCTTGGGGATAGAGGTACCTCCTGTGCCATTTCTCCCTGAGTCTCTTCTACAGTGGGGGATTGCTGTATGTGAGCGAGAGCTGGCCCCACCCCACACAGGAGAGAGACTAGTTCTGGAGTCCATGAGAGCAGTCTGGAGGAAAACCACTCTACCCTGCTGACCCTTGAATTGAGAGTTATTGTCACCTACTTTATCCAGCGATGAACTCTGAATAGAAACTCAAGAGTTAAAAAAAAAAAATCTTCATCATAATGTCTAAAAAATTGTGTTGATTTAAAACATTAAATTATAAGTAAAATAGATAAACATTTCAGAAAATATGGAAAATAGGAATAAGTATTTATTCCTAGGAAGAAAACAAATCACCTGTAAGTCTGCTATTATAATGGTTATGCTTTCAGCCTTTTTCTAAATATGGAGATACATGGATATAATTTTGCATGTCTTATTCTTCAGAACATGGCTTTAATGCCTAAATAATACTCCATTTTATAGAAACGTCCCTTAATTTATTTCAGCGAACTCCCATTGCTGAACATTCTGATTATTTCTCATTCTATTTTCTGCAGTGCTGTGAAGCAGACATGAGCTCCCTAAATGCTATTTGGGAGCAGCCCCGATTATTTCCTGAGGATTAATTTCTCAGACTGTAAGCACTGGGCCAAAGGATAGGGGCTCATTCTTTTATATTGTTTTTGTGTGTTACTCTATGTAAATTATCATCTAATCTCTACTTGTGAATTTAAACTTAGAGTAGAATTATATAATTTTCAAAACTGAAAGGAAAGCTGGAAGCTCTTATTCTAGTCTCTTTATTTTCTTTTTCTTTCTTTTCTGGTTGGGAAGCCTGAGAACCACAGAGAAAAGTGACTAGCCCAAGATCTCGATTTAATCTTTAGATTTTAGTCTTCCCCATTTTTCCTTTCTCTTATTTAGTGAGCTTTTTTTGTATAGCTCAGAGTTGTCCTTTTAACCCCTTTGCTGAATACTGAGCAGGGATTTCCTCTGAATAGCTCTGTTTGCTGTAAGAAAGAGTCATTAGTTAGCCCTCAGGTAAGTTAAGGATACTTTGTATTCATTCATGACTGCCCTCTGACTTTATAATTTCTTCCAGAGATTTGATAAAAATTTAGAAAAATTTTTATGGTTCTTAATAGGTTCTTATAAACCCTGGCCCCCTAAGTGCGGATGACAAGGGACCATTAGATCTTGCCATTCGCAAGGCTGATCAGAGCTTCTTTAGAAGTGCTCTGGCAGACGGTCCTGAACCTCTGTCAGTCTTGACTCATTGCAGTGGTGGTGCTGTGGGAAAGAACCCATGAATAGGCCGCAATTATAACTTGGTAGAAAGGATATACAGACGGTAGTCTGTCAGTAGCTTTCTTTAAAAAATAAAATTTCCTTTTTAAGAAAAAAAAATTCAGTTAAAAAATTAGTAATTTAAATAATGAAAAACAAACCAACTCAGCTCTAATGCCAAAGAGGTAAATTTTACTTTATTTCAGTATAATTAACTTAAAATAGGTAATACAGTCACATAGCTTCAAATTTAAAAGGTACAAAAATGAATGTAGTGAAAAATCAGTTCCCAAATTTATCTCCCCAGAGGCAGCCACTGTTAGCAGTTTTTTAGTATATCCAAAAGATTAAAACTAATAAATTTGGATCTTTTTCTCAGCAAATTTAAGATCATTGTAATCCGGGTGAAGACAGGGTATTTCAGAGACTATGTCCTCGAGAAATTGAAATTCTTTATTGTGGAGAAGGTGAGGAGGAGCAAATAACATTAAACTTCAAAATATGCTTCAAAAACTCCTGCATACTCCCAAGGTGGTAGAGTTTTAAAGGGGTGGGAGGTGGGGCTGAGTGAAGAGGAGGGAAGTGAAGGAAGGTACATTGACAGTAGTCTTTTCTTTTCCCTGCAGCTTCTCCTTCTTCACTGCCCATCCTCTGCAAGCTGGCTCAGATTTTCCACTGGATCCGGGAGGCCATGTTTTCCTCCTTCTACCAGCTCCCCATCCATGACTGAGTGGCCTTCCTCATTCACTTCAGCCTCTCTTCTCCCCATGGCAGAGTAACTCATCCATGGTAGCCAATTTCCTGTTGCTGGCTGGACCCCTACAGGAGTTGGGCCAGCCTAATTCTCAAAGAGCTGATGCTGTCATATGAACTGTGTCTTGCTGCCTGAATGCTCTCTCCTTTGCACCCACTTTAGCTGGTGTTGGTAGGTCATATGGAAACAAAGATGGGCCACAGGGCACAAGTCCTCTAGACCAGTCCTCCGTTGTACCCAGAGGACCCTCGTAAAGGAAGAGTTTGGGGATGGAGAATGAGACCATGAAACATTCCATCTTTTTGGCAAAGGCAAGGGGTTAATTTTCAGGTTGGTATTGATGAAGTTGGACGTTTAGAAAAATCTCTATGAAGTGATCCTTGGCCTTTTACTTTCTGGAAAAACTTACCTCTAAAAATCACCCCCTGGGGCAGGCCTTTAATTAGGCAGAGTGCGATCTGAGAGGGCCTCTTTTTTCTCTTATGCTCCTCTCCACAGATCTGTTGTTTATCATACGCCATTCCCATGGTTTTGCAATGGACTTGGAGACGCTTAGGCCTGCTGTATGTTCAGACCAGAGCATGGCTTTCAGAACCACCCAAGTGACTACTGAAAATAAAGTGAGGCTGCTCCATTCTTACTGGGTAAAGTGATCTTGCTTGGTGCTGCTTGGGCTTCAGCTCAATTTTCCAGGTTGTCAGTGGCCAAGCCCTGCCCTGTTAAACTGAGTATCACTTCACTCTCTTTCCAAAAAAAACCTGTTAAACAGTCTCACTTCACTCCCTTTCCCTCCTGTCAACCCCCTCCCCGCTCTCCTGCAGTAGTATTTTTGTACTTTGTCCAATGGCTGTTTCACCAGATTCTGCCTGTATCTTTGCCTCCTTGGTACGCACCGTTGCTGGTTCCCCCTCTCTATGTCCTGTTGCTCTGATTATAGTCTATTTGTATAATGCACAAGTTTTTTTGTTTATGTGGCCTCGAAAAGTAGGACAGCCTCAGAGACTGATAAGCTGAATTGAGTAATCAGGGGAGCTGGAAGGGATGGCAGAGGGGACTGGGTGGAGAGGAGACATGGGTTTTGAAGGCAGTAAATAGTTTTATTCATTGTTAGGGAGTGGAGGCATGGAGCCTTAGAAATTTACCACCTGAAATGTTTCAGTGTTTTTTTGTCACTGGCCACAAGAATCTTACATGTTTCCATGCAAATAAATATAAAATACTATGCTTTCAGGATTGTGAAAGGCTTCCAGCAGGGGCCAGGCTTTCTGCAGCTGAAGGCCAAGCAAACTACCCCTTTCTGAAACCTCAGTGCTCATGCCAAAAGCATAGACAGTGTCGTTAGCTTTTCCTTGGTAGATTTTCCAGAGTTGTAAGTCAACAAATTTTCTTTAATAAAATGGGTAGAATAAATTTCAAAGGTCCTTGGGAGGCTAAGTCCCTAGGGTGTTGTCCAACAATTTGTTTTTGTAGGAAACAAATCTATGCCTTTACATATGGGCTTTTAATAGAGTAAGAACCCTGGGAAGAAGAAGGGAAGGGAGGCAGATAAGCTTTGAGATTTCTTTAGAATGATTTCTTAAAAATGAAAATCTGGTCCCATTCAAAACCCTAGATAAAACTCTTTAAGGCTTCCCATGGCCCACAGGATAAAACCCACATTCTTTTTCATAGAATTTAAAGCCCCTTTTGCATTGGTTTTGGCTAACATCTCCACTTTCGTGTGGGGCCTCTGTTCCTTATGCATGCTGCTTTCTAGCTGCTCAGCCAGTCAAAGTTTTCTGAACACTGCATGCTCCCTCATACCTCTGCTGTTCCCTCATACTTCTGCTGTTCCCTTTGGAAGGTCCAGCCTCTCTTTTTGCCTGGTGAGCTCCTCAGCCTTCCAGATATACACAAGGATTACTTCTGGTAATCTTCTCAATGTCCCCTGCTTTTAGCCCCTATTTCATATCTCTTCTGTGGTCATGACCCCATGGCCTTAGGGTTGTGAAATTTTTTGTTGCCTCCAAGAACCGTGAGCTCTTTGAAGCTGGGAATTGTGGCTTGTCGCAGTGTTTAAGAGTCAGGTTTGGATCCTTGGTCTCTGGTTGTGCAACTGTTAGAAAGTGATTGAACCTTTCTCAGCCTCAGTGTTCTCATCTTAAGTGAGTTCTTACCTCACAGAAACTTTTGGAGATAATGAGATCCTACTTATGAAGTGTTTAGCATGTTATTCTGCCCAGGTCAGAGCTCTTCTGAGGGCTAACTGTATCTCCTTTGCCCAGCCGAGTGCCTGAGAGTTAGGTGTTCAAAGGTATTTAAAGGAATGAATTGATATAACTGACATTACAAGAGGTCTTTGTGTTTTTGGTGAGTGTGTGGGGCTTGTATTGTGAAAACCTTGACTATAAAGAAGGTTTGGCTACACCCAACTCATTTTTCTGTCTTTCCCCTTAAGGTCCCCAGTATTGTGCTTGCAGGCCTCTAGGTTCTCTGTTTTGTTTGTTCTAAACTCTGCAGTGTTGTCTGGTAACCAGCTCAGCTACCTTCTTAGTCAGACAGGGAACTCAGACTAAAACTGCCCCAATGACTTTGACCTTTTCTCAGGATGCAGACTGGCACTCATATCAGTTTTCAGCTCTGGGCTTAACGAGGTCAGAAATGAAGGGAGGGCTTTTTTCTTAGTCTTATACCTGTGCTGTCTAATATGGTAGCCGTTAGCCGTGTGTGGCTCTTGAGCACTTGCCCAAATTGAGAGATTCTGTAAATGTACAATACACACTGAATTTCTAAGACTTAGTACTAAAAAAAGAATGGAAACTCAATTTTTATATTGATTGCATGTTGAAATGATAATGTTTTGGACATACTGGGTTAAATAAAATCTATTATTAAAATTAATTTCACCTGTTCCTTTTTACTTTTTTGTGAGGCTACTGGAATGTTTAAAATTATACATATGGCTCGCATTAGACGTCTGGATGATGCTGTTCACACCCAGTACACATCAGGTTCAGAGGGGATGGAAATCAGAGATGCAGCATTGTATGGTGGCATTTCATAGGAAGTTAGATCTGGAGACCATATGTTATAGCTTCTTTCTTTATAAGTCAAAGAAGTTGAGACCCAAAGAGGTAAAGTGATTTGCCCCAAGTCACGTAGCCTGAATGAGACCGAGGAATCTTGGCCCTCAAACCTAGTGCTCCTTTCACCACCAAGATTCTGCTTAATTTGTCCTAAAATCAGTTGCTCTCTCACTGAAACTCAGTGTTAATATGCAGATGTATCTGGGAGGTGTAACTTCAGCTGGAATTAGTTGATTAGTTCTGGAGAGTTCTGAGAATACAACATAGAATGTATTTTAAAATGCCGAGGAGATCCGGAATGAGTAATACTCTCATGTGGTCAGATGGGAGGCTGAGGAGGATGGTGTGAGGTAGGGAGGAGAAATTGGGTTACTGTGGGTGATCACAGGTAGAGGTGGGTGGGAAGCAGAATGGATAGTGCTGGAGTAGGACATGGGGTTCTGCTTCTAGAAAGGGAGTTAGAAGGGACTGACTGAGAAGTATTTCGTCTTGTGCATGTGATCCCCTTTTGAATATATGTGTTTGCACATGTGTGTATGTAGACTTTAAAAATATATGTGGGCGGACATTTCTTTTTGGGCTTGGCGGTCTCTGTTCAGGAGCTCAAGTCTGGGACAGTGGTGTACATTCCTTGTATCATTCCATTTCTGCTCTGGGTCTACAAAAAATTCCTGGAGCCATACATATACCCTCGGATTTCCCCTTTCCTTGGTTGTAGGTGGCCTAGAAAAGCTATACGAGAATCCAGTGATAAAAGCAAAGGCAAAATAGGCTATCAAGGTGCAGACATAAATGGATTACCAACAAAAGGACCAACAGAAATCTCTGATAAAAAGAAAGACTAAAGTGATTGTCCCAGAGGACCTCACTGTTTTCAAAATGGACTCGATAATCTGAATCACCTTTTTTGTAATTGTCTCTGACCTTTTCTTCTTAGACCAAAATTCAGGACAGATAGTTTAGCTATTTACCTGATACTAATCAGGAAGTACATGGTATTTATATTTAAAGTATATTTAGTTATATTTAATGATCTCATTCCTGAGTTCCTTTTTCATTAAAATAGCTTTCATTTCTATTATTATAGTTTTAATAATATAAATGAATAGAAGGTTTGTGCCAGTAGACATTGTTACTAAATTGTTACCTAAACATCCTTGGGCCTCTGGCTTTTGTACAGCTCTTCAGATCTGAGCAGAGTACATTTTTACTGTGAAACAGTGCAGTGAGACTGTGCAGTGAAATGAAAGGGAGTTTTTGGAGATAATGACTTGAAACAAAGTTATAATCACTGCCCAACACAGTGGAGCAGCTTATCTGCAGAGTAGTAATAACTGTTTATTGTTCTGAGGAAGATGGTGAAGCCAGGGAAGTAGGGGAAATTCTAATCCTTGTTGCATTCCTTCTATTCCTACAAAATATATTAAATATTCAGTTTAGTTCAAAAAATATGTGGGGAAAGAAAATACGCGAGTTTTATATAGTACAGAATTTAAAAGTTACAAAAGAGTGTTGTAACTGAGCTACTCTCACAGCGGACAAAATATTTCCTACCTAACGATTAACTTGCAGAACATTAGTCAAAGAGTCTTTTTATCCACCCCCATTCCACATCCCCCAGTTTCCTGCCCAGAGGCCACCAATGTTGTCAGTTTGCTTATCCTTCCAGAGCTAATCTCTGAAAGCTTTTCTTTCTTTCTCTCACACAAATGACTGAATACTGCACACGTTATACATGCTGTATCACATTTAAACAATTAATCTTGGATGTTTGCTCCTTGTCAGCTCAGCCTGCCTGGTCTCATTAGCTTTATGGTATTTCATTGTGTGATAAGGTCACACTGTAGAAGCCCTGTACTCTGTCCTTAACACATTGAAACGTCTTCACTCTCTCCTTAGCTTAGGAGCACAGCAACCTTGAGTTTAAGATAACAGGTGATGGTCATGCCTCTTTCCTGTTACTTCTTAGCAAACACAGAGCAGTCTGTTCAGCCTGCCTGGTATCTACTGGGGAGATAAAAGAAGGCCTTTCATACTCTGAACATTCAGTTTTTCCTAAATCTGGAATAGCACTCAAGCAGCCTCTGCCATCTGGTTAAATCAGCCAGAGGAAATGGCAAAAAGAGAAAAGCCTGATATGGCCTGCAAATAGGGCCCCTATCCACTACCTCACCCTCTTTTCCTTTCTTCAGTGGAAAAGTCTGGGCTAATGGACTTCTGGAAAGTGATTGAACCACCCCACTGGCACCCACAGTGGGGCCGTTGTAATTCTGCTGATTTTTCTCTCTGGCTTCCTTAGGCAAGCTCCCTGAAGGCTGGCCAAGGCCTCCTCCACCACCTTGCTGTAGCACCTTTATTACATGGAGTGTTTATGAGAAAAAGGTAGGGCCCTTTTGCTTCTGGAAACCTTACGATCTTAGGGAAGAAGCTAAATGAAAGGCAGTGGGCACAATGTCTCTAGCAGATTATGATATTTCTCTCTGTGCCATCCTCCAGTGATGAAGAATGGACCCAGACATTGTTGGCCAGCTTCTAGGCCTCTAGATAAAACAACAAATATTGTTCTTGTCATAAAGAAAACTATATATTTTAGAAAATATTAAAAATTGCATAATAGCCAACATTAAAAAGACAGTATGAGAATATTATGAATGATTTTACTACTAATAAGGTCTAAA